GAGCTATTTCTATTGTTCATATTCTTTACCATGAATATGCATTATTTCAGCAATGATATATCTTGTCTGCAAACAGAAATAGTTTTAAAAGATGTTTAGTTGATGATGGTACCATGTACACAGTATGTATTTTTGTTCTATCATGGATTTGAAGCCTGGTTCCCCAGTCATATAGAACTTATAAAACTTTGGACCAGTCACTTTCTCTCTCTCTCTGGGGCTTGGTTTTTGCCAAAATACAGAAGAGACAATATCTCTGAACTCATAGGATGGATACACATTTGATGAAATGGACAGGAAAATACCTAACCCCACTCAGTGAACACATAAGAAAGCCAACTTTCTTAAAAAGAAAAGCTTCTCTAAGACTTCCTACACTGTGGTATGAAATTTAATGCTGAAAAACAATGAGGGATCAGGAGTCTAAGGTGTGATGGGCTCAGCATTAGTTTCCTAAGGCAGCAAATCACCATGATGGAGTGGTGTACACAACAGAAATACTCTCTTACAGTTCTAGAAGCCAAAACACTGCAGTCAGGTATTGGCAAGAATCCTTCTTTGCTTCTACTGTCTTCTAGTATCTGCTGGCAATTTCTGGCATCCCTTGGCTTGCAGATGCTCCAGTCCCTGCCTCTGTCTTCATGTGGCCTTTTTCCTATGTGTCTGTGTCTCCTCACCCCTATCAGTAACAATGTATGATGTATGATGACCCAGTATGACCAACATCACTTCCTCCTAACTTCATTACAGCCACAAAGTCCCTACTGCCAAGGAAGCTCACCCTCACAGGTGCTGAGGTTAGGATTCCAACTTATGTCTTTTGGGGGACACAATTAAATGCATAACAGATGCAGGTTTTTCTCCATAAATATCAGGCATGTGTCGATGATAGACTTTAATTATAAGAAAGAGCACAGGGGAACCAACATTGACTAGACCCTCCCACATGCTGACACTTCACACACAGACATCACTCCATGGGCATTCATGCTGGTTCTTATCTTAAAGAAAAAGGAACTGAGGCAGAGGAATTAAGGTTCCAGAGTCACTTGGCAATGGCATGAGCTTGGAATGGGCTGGCCTATAAAGTCGATGATGAAGACTTTGAAAGAGAACAACAGGATAGTATGAGCCAGAGCAATGAGGGAGTCTTTCCTTAGACCAATGAGAGATGATGTCCCTGAAAGGAAGTCTTTTGAGCTGATAAAATTGGCCAAATGAAGACTGGAGAAAACTTTTTCCACTAAGAAAAAAGAGCATGTGCAAAGGTCTGAGCCAGGAAAAAAAATCAGACATGTTCAAGGAACTGAAAAACAGCTAGTGTGGCTCAAGCACTTTTTAGAAAGAAAAAAAAAATTGCTCAGTGAAGAGACTCTATTGTGCAGCAACTTTCAGGCCATGAGCAGGCATTTTGTTTCATCCCGTGGGTCAGGGGAAGCCATCGGAGGGGTGAAATGCTGAATTGACTTGGTCTGATTTACCCAGGGTCTAGCACAGAGCTTGTCACGCAGAAGGGGATCAGGAAAAGGTTGTGAAACATCTGAATAAACAGACTCCAACTAGATTCCCAGAAAGATGGAAACTGCTGGCATCACAGAAGGAAAAATACCATTTCGGTCTTTGCCCATGAGAAGAACAAACAATTTCGCCTAATCCAAATTCACTTTCATGCTTCTCTGCCTAAGAAGCACGCAGAGCTGCTGAAATCCACAGGCGCATCATGACAGAATAATTTCAGTGATCATTATCAAATGCCTCTATTTAGAAAAGCTCAGAAGATTGTATTAGCACAATCCAGTATTTATGAAATGACACTCTGCCGTAATGAGGGGCTGAGAAAATTAAGATTCAAAGCAAGAGTCACTCCTTTGGGAGGGCGGTGGGAAAAGCCACAGTGTCATGCAGTATCTGGACACCTTGGTTTTCTGATCCATAAAGTGGAAGGATAGTAGCAAAGACTGAAAACATGTGATCACTTCATAAAGGGTCTAAAGACATTTAATCATAGTTATCATGCATTTCTTCATTTAAAAAAGGCATGTGATAAAGTCTATTTGCCCATCCATGTATCCATCTGTCAAAGTGGGATTGTATTTAGTAGCCACTCTGTGTGATGCAGAGTTTTAGGGACTGAAGTTAAGGGTGTGAGCAAGATTGCTATGGCCCCGATCTGCAAGGAACTCCTCACCTGGGGGTAAAGCATACATTGAGCAAATAGCATCTGCTCTCTGCATGTGACTGCAGAGAAGTACAGGGTGTGATGGGAAGTCTTTATGAAGAGAGATGACCCAGGCAGCATCTTAGGCAGTGCTATCTTCAGGAAGTGAGGTCAAAGATGAGATGTGAAGGAGAACGACATGACAAAGGTGGAGGAAAAGTTCTCGTATTACCTTATATGAGTTCCTGAGGTAGGAGACTGGAAATTGACAGAGGACAGTGTGAAGCAGACAAAGGGGAAGTGGGACATGGTGGAACTGGAGGCTGGGTGGCACCTGCCCAGCAGGACACTGAAGGCTACAGCAAGGTTCTGGTCTTCTTCCTCACTATAATAGAAAACCTTAGAATAATGCTAAGCAGAAGCTGGGAGGAAGCAGTGAAGGAAGAGGGAACGTGAGCAGGCCTGTGATCTGAAATGATCTCTGACTTCTGCATGGAGAGTGGGTTAAAGTCAAAAGAAGCACCAATGTGACTATTAGAAGATCTTCCAGCTACCCAGGTAAGAGTTGATGTGGCAGCACTGGGCACAGGTGACAGAGATAGAGACCTGAGCTGCACTCAGGTGAGGAAGTAAAACCAAATTATTGATAGAAAGAGGTGGAAAGGGAAAAATGTGACTTGGGTCTCTGGCTCAGCACCAGAGTGGATGAAGTGGTCTTTCCCAAGACAAGATAAGAAAGTACTTGAGAGTGAGTAGGTGGGAAGCAGGAATGAATGAAATAAGATGAATGAAATAAGAGTTTAATTTTGGAGATGTTGAGTTTGGAGAGCCTCCAAGACCCTCAGAGCTTCAGATGGGCTAAAGACAAATAGAAAGAGCATAGATCTGTATGTAAACACACAAACACACATAATGTGCACGCGCGCACACACGCGCGCACACACACACACACACACACACGATATCAATTTATGTGGTCAACATCAAAGATAGCCAAGCAGGGCAGAGCAGATATGGTATGTTTCAGCACAAGTGTTCTGAACTCATGGGGTCCCTAGCAGGGACACTTGAGAGTCAAGTCAACATTATTAAAAATTGCAATGGGTATGAAGGTCATCCCATGGCCATCTTACTAATGGGAACGTGTAGCTGTTAGCAACTCTGTTCACCCAAAGTAAGGTCCTCCCAAATCTGAAAAGCTCAGTTTTGTACAATAACACAGCATTATTCCATCTGGAATATTTGTCTGCACTCAGGAGAAACTCATGCAAATAATTCACATAGGCCTTGTAGGCCTCCTACTTTGGAGGCAGTCACACCCTCACAAGCACATCTCTGAGTATCTTCTCTGTCTCCAGCTTAGTGACATCCTAGAAATTTCCTCTCCTAAGAAGTCACCAAGAAGACAAGGCAGCTAGGAAGTAGGTCGTGTAATTCTAGAGTTTGTAAGAGATGGCTGAAGTCGAGGTCATCCATTGTGTAATGACTGATTTTATGTGTCAGCTCAACTGGGCTAAAGAATATCCAAATACCTGGTGAAATATAACTTCTTCGTGTGTCTGTGAGGGTATTTCCAGAAAAGAATAGCATCTAAATTGGTCAGCTGAGCGAAACACATGCCCTCCCCAATGTGGGTGGGCATCACCAAATGTTAAGGACCCACAGCATGAAAATACAATAATGTTGACTGAATTCACACCCTGCCTCTCTTTGCCTGGGTTAGGACATCCATCTTCTCTGGCCTTCAGACATCAGTGCTCCTGACCTCAAGCTTTCAGACTCAGATTAGGACTCACACCACCAGCTCCCCATTCTCAGATCACATGTCAAAATGAATCCCATCACCGGCTTTCCTGGCTGTCCAGCTTGCAGATGGCATATTATGGGGCTTCTCAGCCTCCATGACCATGAGAACTGCTTCCCATAATAAATCTCTCCTCCTGTTGGTTCTGTCTCTCTGACCAATACACATGGAATGAGTATAAAACAAGCCTGAAGAACTCTAACAGTCAATGGCCAGAGTGAGCTGACAAAGGAGCCTGAGAAAGAGCACCAGGAGGGGTGGTAGGAAACAAAACAGTGTGGAGGATACCGGTAGCCTTCGGTTGGTGAGGGAGACAGAGAATCTCAAATTCCTTCTCCAACAACCAGTTGTCTTTACCATTGTCTCAGGGATCATACTACCCAAAGGGGTGATCTTAATGTTCTCAGGGTAGCCACTCTTCCTGACTTAGCAGGTAAACCTCTTCAGAATTGGACTCACCCAGACCTGCCCCACCCTAACTGTGGTCTCCCTTACTGTACCTCCTCCAGGTATACCTCCCCTAACAGTATCTTAGACATGACTCCCTCCCATAGGCCTACCTCATCCAGGGATCCATCTCCCCTTAGTCCTATTGGCTACAAAGAAGCTTTGCATTCGGGATGTCAAGACATTAACTTCACGAATGACACTATGGCTGTAGACATCTCCTTACATATATACAGCTGCATCTATGTGGAAAAGAATAACCTCAAATTCTTTGGAAGCTCTTCCTTCCCCTAAAATCCTAGTACTGGGCTCCTAAGTAAAATCCAGGAATGCCCTGCTTGCAGTTAATGCTTATGACCTCCACGCTAAAAGAAATCCCAAAGGTTGTAAATCCAGGTGAGGTATCACTCCTATCACATCCTGAACAATCCAATCAGCCTTGCTTTGCATACTCCTGGGGATGGGGAACTCAACAACGACAAAGTCATTTACTGCACTCAGAGAGAGCTCAAGCCATAAAAAGCTTCTTTCTACAAGTCATTATAAAAGTTACTATCCCCATCACAGCCCCAAACACAGTGAGCCACATACCTGTGGGCACCGCTGGGTCCAGCATTGGTTTCTCCCACGTGTTAATCTGCTCCCAGGTAAACCCATTGGTTCCCAGGGCCACACTATAACCACAGTTGCTGTAGTGCTCATCAAAGGAACAGCCGCCTGCAGACAAAAGAGATAAGGGTAAATACATCCGTGCATCTGAAGCTTGCTCCATTGCCCCTCTCTCATCGGCTCTTCATTTACAGCTTTGAATTTTAAACTCTGGAAAGATTAAAAAAGAAAGAAAGAAAGAAAAAAGGCAAGCAAATTGGATTTTTATATTTGCTTTGGTGCTCTCAGGAAAGGCGCTGGCATCTGCAGGCCCCCCTATTTAAAAAAGTTAATAAGGCTAGTTACATTGATTTCAATCTTCCTTCCTGAGAAAGTAAACAGCAACGTCTCATTCTAAGTAGGAAAAATGAATGCCAGGGCATGCCTCTGTAATTGCTTCCTGCAACATGGAGAGGCGATGCCAAGCAGCAGAGAGCACTAGCTCTGGAGTCTACCAAAATGAGACGCAACCCCAGCTTTGCAAAGCAGGGTCAGCTCGGGCCGGATGTCACGTCCATCTGCCTCAGTTCCCGCAGCTGGAGAGCAAGGGCCACCCAGCAGAAGTACCAGAGGATTCGATGGAGGAACACATGAAAAGTAACCAGCACAGAACATGTGGTCAACATCCTTCCTCTGCCCCACAAAAGCAGTTTTTGAAAAATCATTTTTCATGGAGTAAAAATCATATTTGTGAAGAACTAGACAATCATGTCCCTGGAAGATAATAAAGCCAATGCTGATAGTGTTTGAAGCTTTCCCCTTTAAAGGCCAAGCCATGCACCATTTTATAGTAAGTGCGAAAATATGACTTTGACAGCAATTGAGTAGGCAAGTGCTGTGGGTGGAACATCTCCAGCCCCAAGTGATCTTGAGAGAGATGTGGATGTAGGACTGGACTCCAGCTAAGAAGTGCTGGTCTGTCTAGAAAAATGGCAGGTGGGGTTGTCCTGGAGAAGGAAGAGGCAGAAGACAAGGAGAACTGGTCAAGGTTTTGAAGGCTGGGAGCTCCCCCGAGGAGGGGATGAGAGAGGAAGTGCATGCCATGTGACATATCACTACTATCACATCCTGAACAATCCACTCAGTCTTGATTTGCATACTTCTGGGGCTGGGGAGCTATGGGCGGAACATAGAGGCAGGGAGGCAGCGGAAGAGCCAAGTTCTACAGCAGCCTCCAGACTGGTCTCCCAGATCCCAGTTCACACCCCAGTCCCACCTTGCCACTGCCCCTTAACATATCAACATGTCACCATCTCCCTCTCTAACCACCTGCTGGTTCCCCATCACACGCCCAAGTGTGGTTCCAATTCATGTATAGAACCCAGCCCCGCCTGGGTCTGTGGTCTCACACAGCACACACATTTGGCCCCCATCAGCTGCAAAGGACAAATTCCTTCTCTGCTTCCAGACCTGGAATGGTCTCTGCTGTTCACAGATTTGATACAGAATCTGGCGACAGCAACACTAAGGGAAATCTGTGACATCACAGATTTATCTACTTCCTTTTCTTTTTTAAAAAAAGATTTATTTATTTATTTATAGAAGAACTGGGGTATAGGCCAGAGGCATGGGAGGGTGAGAGAATTCGCCAGAGACAGAGCAGGGAACAGAACAGGCAGACTGATGAAATATACTGCTGAGGGGAGCAGCGGGCAAGACAGGAGAGGTCTGCCATGCCATGTGGGTAGCTCCCTGGCCAGCCAGGAATTGAACCCATGCTGCAGAGGCTACGGACAGCTTCACACCAGGGAGGCCCCACTTCCTTTTCTTACTGGAGGTCTTTAGGTCATGAGTCTCAGGCTGGGCAAAGGAGACAGTATGTTTGGTATCACCAGGGTTAAGGTTTGAGTTGAAAGTATTACGTAGCTTTACACTAAATAGTAACATGAATTTAGAGCATTTTATTTTAGCATCTAGCAAAAGAAGGACAGGAGAGGGAGAGCAAGTCCAAGAAATACAATGAAATACAGAAACCTACAGGAGGCCAGGATTAGTGAGAAATTTCCCATGATGGGAACTAGAAGATGCATTGGTGGGAGCTAAAAGATCTGTTTGCTCTCATTTATTCATTCAGCAATAACTTAATTGAGCACTTATTGCAAGATCTGGCTGAGTAAGTATTAGGCCCTAGCTTATAGTGGTTTACAAAAGAGGCATGCTATCACTGTTGAGAGACAGACAGATGGTAAACAAATAAATTAATCAACAGTTGTGCATTTCAGTGTTGCTATCAAGGCTGCAGCTGGCTGCATGAGAGGGCTGCTAAGTCAGAAGGGCCAGGGAGTGTCTCTGAGCATGAGCTGGAAACAGTTCTCTGCCCTGTGCTGTCACATCGCCACCTGCACCAACCCCCAGGGACAGCCATGTGTCTCAGGTGATTTGGGGAATTGAGGGAAGATGGGCAGTGCCACTTTGGATACACGAGGTTAACAGACATGGACAGAAGTCCAAGGAAATGTTAGGAACAGGTGACAGAGAAGACTTCAGCCCAGGTGTAGTGATGAGGTTGACCTTTCAGAGACAAGAGGGAGGCAATCAACCAGCTTCCACGAACAACAAGCATCCAGCTTGCAACAGCTCAGGCCCTCACTAGGCAATTATGTATTTGGATGTAGGAGGCAACCTGTGTGAGTGGGATGCCGGACACAGATCAAGCTACACCAGCGTGACGGTGGGCCCACCACAGTCCCCCAGCTTGGCCTGCTCTTGAGTGTCTCATACTTGTTACTTCTGCCTAGAAAGCTCCTCTCCACATGGTCCGTCAAACATACACCACAAGGTCCTCCCAAAACCACTTTTATAAACCCTCTCTGACAGAACAGCAGAGACGATGGCCTGGATATGACAACACAACACACACCGTTGCAGCAGCTCAGACTCCGACGGCACTACCTCCTTTCCTGCACGGCCACCACCAGGAGCCCAGCCCGTGGGGAACCAACATCAGGTTCGTGCGGGCGGCAATGGATCCTGATGGGCTGGAGCTGACGAGACAGGAGAGCTGCTGCCTCTCAAGTGTTCTTCCTCAGAGCTGATGGATAATCTGAAACGGACATCAGCCCCCAAGGCTAGAGAAGCCACGTGTGGCCACGGCAGTGCCACAGACACCGCAAACCTTTTGGAGTTTCTCTCCTGTGCACTCAAAAACCCTGTTCCCAGGCCTCCCTGCAGCTGGGAAAGACCCCACAACAAAGCCTGTAAGTGGGAGACAAAGGAATGCCCGCCATCTGCAAAGCTGAGCCATAAAAATCACCTCTTACAAGCCGCCCACCCTCCGCGCCTGCTCCTGGTTTGGTTTTGTTAATTGGCCAAACACTTGCATGCTGCTATGACTTAGGGATTCCATTTTCACTCCCCCGTGTGTGTCCATGCTTCACTCACTCTCCACCACACTTCCCCTTGGGTGCCCTGCCCCGCCTGCCCTCCCCTGTTCCCTCTGGCAGCCTGTATATTCTTCATGGAGTCTAAGAATTGTTTTTGCTGTGCTCTGCCAGTGGATATTTTCTGGGTTTTGTCTTTTTTATATTCCACAGATAAGTGAAATCATCCAATATCCGTCTTTCACTTTCTGGCTTAATTCACTTAGCATTATCATCTCACCACTTGGAAGGCAGATTTTTATCCCTGGTTTAAGAGTAAGGTAATTGGTATATTGACGGGTAAGGGAAATGTGGGAGCCAAGTTGAATTTCACGGCCCAGCTGTAAAACCCACACTGTTTCAGCTAAACCAGAAAGTCAATATATTCCCCAGACCAAGGACAAGGCCCTTCACTTCTAAGGTCATAAGAGGGAAGAACCAGGCAGCTTCCAGGGTGGTTGGGTGTAGGGTAAAGAAAATATCAGGCTTTTCTGCCCTTCCGCCATCAGGATAGAAGATGGATCCTTGTCCTGAATGCATGCCTGATGGCGGGCACCTGGAGTAGGGTGTGGGCATAGGTAGATGGGGTCAGCTGTGCTAAGACTGTGCTTTTTAAGGGCGGCGTCACGGGGGGACGCCAGCAGCAGCACCAGTAGCAGCAGTAGAAGCCGAAGCAGAAGCTGAAAGAGAAGCCGAGAAGCAGCAGAACGAACGCCAGAGTGCCCAGATAGAGTGAAGACTTGCTGGGGGGCTGGGAGGCTGGGAGGCCTCCCAGCCCCCCAGCCAGCACCCCTGCCTGCCATATGCCTGGTGAACCCCAAATAAAAAACCTGCAAAACTACTGAGGACTCTGGCTCCTCCTTTACCGGTCTGCATGGGATCAGAAAACCTGCACTGTGTCCTGTCCTGCCCTTTACATTGGGTATCTCCCTCTTTATTTCAGGAACATTTCACAAAGATCTTATTTTACAAAGACCAGCAGATCTGACTCTTGTCCTCACGCATTTTGCCGAGATCCAAGCACACGCATATACACTCAAGGTGGAGTGCACGAGACGCGCGCATAGAGGTGTGCCAAAACTCCCAGAAGAAATCAGCTGTAAATTTTGGTGAACAGTCTAATGAAACCAATTTTCTGCCTTCTTTAGATAAGATCCAGGAGGGCTCTACCTTGAGCACCCGGCTTGCCGATCCCATGCAAGATCCCCTAACAACCCACTGCTTGTCTCCAGGATCTATTGCTCACCCTTCACCTGCCTGCCTCCACCCAGTGGAGCTGTCCCTGAGCTGAGAGCCCACTGGACCCGGTCCTCTAAGGGATGAGGACCCACCCACTCTTCCCACCTCCACCTGCAGGGTGTTGGGGACTCCTTCAGGCTACAGCCAGTAAGCAGGTTTGGTCTCCCAGCAGCAGGCCCAGGGCCCTTGTGATCCAGTTTATATTTTCAGGTCACATTCCTCTCTTCTTCCCCGAGGATGAGTCAGCTTAGCATGGAGTCCAAAGCAGTGTCTACTTCTTGATACCTACTTGTACCATATCCTTTGGGCCCATCAAAGCTTCTCTCATTCCACCAGACTATCATCTCTTATGTGGTTCTCCGTGTCCCTCCCTACAGGAGAGTTTCTAGAAACAAGCGCCTGTCTTGTACTTTATCACACTGTCCATGGAGCTCTCGGACTCCCAGCAGAGCAGGATTACATAAGCAGGCA